AAGTACCTTTAAAATCTGGTACAACTTCTTCATTTTTGACATACAGAAATTGAGAACAAAAAACATAAGAGTTTTCAAATTAAAGCAAACATTAACTGAACATGTACTACAACATGTTTTATACTAGAAACTGTGTTAAATATGGCACCGGGATACTGAGATGGGTAAAAAATGGGTCCTGCTCTCAAGAGCTTTTACCTTATCGGAAAAAACACGTACACATCAAATTCAGTATAAGGGTATGATAAGTGTGACACTGGAGCTGTAGTAAGTATGTTGCACATACAGATGAAGCAGCGATGGATTCTGCCTTGGTGACAGAGATGACCAGAAAAGCTAAAGGGAGGAGCTGGATTTATGCTATACTTGCAGGTTGGACAATGTGGAATGCCTTACTGTAATCATTCAGACCTTCCAAAAAATGCCTTTTCTGTTGCAAGTGAGTCACTAGGGTAATTTTTACTCATAGGAAAAAGCAACACATTGGAGGAAGAAACGAATCATCCTTATTTTCTACAACAGTCAGAGCCCAAGATTCTTTCTCTTGGCATGAAAATACCTTATTCTCTTGAGATACCACTCAGGCTTTGGTGACTAAGGTGGCAAAATTTAATCGATTACCTAGAAGAGGACCCACTACACAATAAGCATACAAATATTTGTCTAATGAGTGAATAAGTGCTACACAATAAGCATACAAATATCTGTCTAATGAGTGAATAAGTATTGACACCTATATAACTTTCAATATATCTCCCAGGATTACAAGGTACCAGAGTCTGCCACTTTATCACATATGAACTACACAATAAGCATACAAATATTTGTCTAATGAGTGAATAAGTATTGACACCTATTTAACTTTCAATATATCTCCCAGGATTACAAGGTACCAGAGTCTGCCACTTTATCACATATGAAATTCCTTCCTTGTAGAAACCAACAAACTTAATTTTACAAATAAATCTATATTTTAAAGTTTCTCAATGACATGCTTTTTGCAAAGACTGTTCTCTTAGAACTCTTTAAGTTCTTGAGACTCTCAAGCGTACATAAAAAAATGTTCTATATAAGCTCTGGTTCACTTTTTTGCTGAACCACCTGAAATGTCTTTTTTCCTCATCTGTGGAAATCTTTCTTTTCTTCAGGCTCACCTATTTCGTGAAGGCTTCCCAGCTTCATTCCCCTCCTGGCTCCTCTGTAATAATCTCTGACCACGTTTACTACTTCGTCACTAACTTGCTCTTGGTTACATGCTTTATCAATTCAACTAGGCTGTGTGAATCTTGGAAACAGAGGATAATTCTTTTGTGTTTCCCATAACCAAAGCAGACACTTAACACAGAAATAAAACTACAGAACTAAATAATATTTGATTATGCATGTAGTATTTTAGAGACTACTCAAGAGCTTTATTTATGCCAAATTTCTCTTATGTATATGGAGGAAGGCCTCTTCCCTTTCACCAAAACAACCCCCAACAAACCAAATGGATACCAGATTTTGATTAAGCAAATAGTAAATAAGATACGTAAAAAAAGGGAATCTATATTTTGTGATATATATGGCAATGTGCCTGCTGAGCATTACACAGGTGCTGAGAAACCAGTGACCAACCCTAATCCATTTAAAATCTGGGAGAGCTCCATTATGTGACCCAAGTATTAATTATTATGGCAGTGGTAGCATCTTACTGTAAAGAGAAATACTTCTGTAATGTATAAAGAGACTTTAGGTACTTGAGGCTGTCACAAACACGAACTCTGGTACAGCTGGCACTGGTTTAGCTATAAAATCACGCAATACTCAACATCTGTGTGTACATGCACAGTGGAGGGAGTCAAACTGATATCGAAAAGGGAATAAACACAATTAGAGACAGTGTA